TTAGGGTTTTTGGATTTAGGGTTTAGAGTTTTGGATTTAGGGTTTAGGGTTTAGGGACTATGTTGGAGGGGTTCCGTGCATGTGGGGAGTCATGCTGTCTTTGACGTAACATCATCGTGTAAACACCTGGCAATCGTATTCCGCTGTCTTCTTTCCATAATGTACAGTATGATGTATGCAAAACCCTATTCTCATTACTTTGGTCCCGGTATTTCAGCATTCCAAGTCCTCGAGACTAGACGTTAAGTCTGTAGTGGACGAACGGGTGAAGGACCTGCCGCCCTACAATAGTTACAACAGTGACAACCGCAACAGCCATCGTAATAGAAGTAGCGAAACCACTAGCGCTACTTATAGCTAACCATAATAGTAATCACAGAATAATGCTTCCAAGAATGACTAGGATATGTTTCCCAATTTTAAGAGCCCCCCCAGATGAAGTTTGATAGGTGGTCTCTGGACTGCTGTGCTCTATGCTCGGTTCAGCCGCGGCCTGAGGACTCATGGACCGTAAGGGTTCCGGGGCTACTTGGAGGTTCATGGGACTTAATATGTAGAGTTATAAGTACCTTAATTGCGGTTATAAGTACTTATAAGTAGAGTCACCTTATTGATAATCCTAGTTACTAAGTCCCATGAACCCTAAACCCTAAACCCTAAACCCTAAACCCTAAACCCTAAACCTTTAAGTAGGGAATGAGGGCTGTATTGTGAGGCTTCCGGTTTACGGTGGTCGAAGGTTTCAGGTTCCAAGGTCCAGGGTTTAGAATGGAGCGTTTAGATTAGGGGTTAGGGTTTAGGGTTTAGGGTTTAGGGTTTAGGGTTTGGGGTTTAAGGGTTAGCGTTTAGGGTTTTGGGGTATGAAGGGAAAGCCCCTTGGCTTTTGCGAACCATGGAACAGAACCCGGCACCCTAACCCTACACCCCAAACCCCAAATCCCTAAACCCCAAACCCTCAAATCCTAAGCCCTAAACCCTAAAACCCTAAACCCAAACAGAGGCCAAACAAAGGAGGCTGAAAACCGCAAAGCTTGCGCATTGTTTCTGAGCTTCGGGCTGCAGAGCATCCAAGCCGGAGTACCCATACTACTCCTGCAATCTCGAAGCCGGAGTAATGTAGGGGCCTTTATGCTTCGAATAGGGTTTTGGGGTATATTATACCAAAATTATAATAAGGATCCCCCCCAAAACCCTATTCTACTTATACGGCCCCTAGATAACTCATACTACTCCTAAAGGGGTTCCGGAATATGATGTTACTATGATATACCCCTAAAACCCTAGTCCAATTAAGGCCTCGACACTACATGTACGCTTGGAGCTTAGGGGCATGAGCAGCGCAAATGCAGCGACTTGTCCACACAAATCCACCATCGCCTGTACACAAGTCGTCTACATTCCATTCTTGATACACCCTAAGCTCTAAACATCTTTTGACTCTTCAACCCTGAAACAGAAACCTGTAAACCGTACACGGCCAGACACCTTCAGCCCCAAACCCCAAGCCTGAACTGTGAACAAACAGGCGCTTCGAATCCATACCGCACGCCCTGAACCTTTAACCCCTAAAGCCCAAGTCGGCACAACAGCCCAAAACCACACACCGCGATATCCGAAATCCAGCCAAACCCCTATAAAGCCCCCAAACCCCCCCTAAACCCACGAGCCCTCACCAGCTCGTCAAATCAGACTGAAAATTTCTTCGAAAGCATGAAAGGCAGTGGCATCCTTTGTGCAATCGCACATACAGAAGTTGCAGGAGCCAGCCCACCCAATCGTGGAGCTCAATCAGGTGCTCCGTGAACACTTCCTCTAATGCCTTGAACGGGCATGTTCGCACAGTTGGGATGTTGGTGATCTTGTGTTGAGCTCTCGCGTCTGGCTGCGGCATGCGCATCTTCTTCATGACGTGCAGCGGATGGGCATGCAGTTACAGGTTCGTGGCTGAGACTTCTCTCCGCTGGGATGCGGGATCACGCAAATTGCACACCTGATTTTATTTAATTATAATTAGGGTTTCGGGCTTAGGGTTTAGGGTACAGTCAGAAGCTGGGTGGTGAGAGACGTCATCTTCCAAGACGGGAAGCGAGACGGGAAGTGGTTCGATCATGCAGTGTGGTACGTGCATAACTCTTAAACGCTGAAACCATTAAGCGAAACCTGTGAACCCGGCTAAAGCCCTTGGATCCACAAACCCTGAACTCCTGAACCCTTGAACCGCTACACTCTCCACCTTAAATCCTTAATCCCAAAACCTGAAGCCGTAACCGTTCAACCGTAAGCCTTAAGTAAACCCTTGACCCCCCTAACCCTCAAGCTCTAAACCCTGAGCCAGCCAAATAAGCCAACAATATCCCTATGGAACCCTTCCAGGAGCGCTTCAAGGAACCCTGAACGGAAAACCTAAACGCCCTAGACCCTGAACCCCAACACCTAAACCCATAAAGGAGGCCTTACCTAGAGTCTTCATTGAAGTTCCCGGTTTAGGGTTTAGGGTTTAGGGTTGGGTTATCTTTACAGCATCCAAAATAGAAACAGAACCCTAAAGTACCCTCAGCTAAGGAACCCTCATAAGACCCTTACAAACCCTGAAGTACCATTATACGAGGAACCTCAAAGTACCCGTAGAGGAACCTTAAAGCTACCTTCCCTAAACCCTAAACCCTAAACCCTAGATCTTCAATCCCAAACCCCAACCCCCTAAACCCCTTAGCTCGTAAACTTTTCATAGAATTCATAGAACGCCTCAAACGAACCCTTAAAGTACCCCTTCGGGAAGTCCGGACCCAGGTCACCAACTTCGCTTCGACCGCGGCGATCTCGGCTCTCGGGTTTTTCGAGCCGAAACACTCAAAACCTGAGGTTTAGGGTTTAGGGTCTAAGGTTTAGGGTTTAGGTTTTAAGGTTTAGGGTTTAGGGTTTAAGGTTTAGGGTTTAGGGTCAGTGATTGGAACTTGAGGGTTTCGGGTTTAGGGTTGTTAGGGTTGGCCTAGATCCTAACCCCGACTAAGCTCTAAGGCGCTAAACCGTGTTGCCCTAAACCCGGAAGCCCGACAGCCCTAAAGCCCCCAAACTCCGTTTACACTACTACTGTAGGGCTGATGATACAAATCCTGCATTACCCATAATAAGGAATATACCATAATTACCATCGTTTAGGTTCACGGCTCCTTAAGGCAATGTAGGGTTTATATCATCAACCGTAGTTCAGGGCTTAGGCTTTCGGAGTTTAGGGCCCGGTTCTAGGTTGTAAAGTTTCAACGGTTTAGGGTTTAGGGTTTAGGGTTTAGGGTTTAGGGTTTAGGGTTTAGGGTTTAGGGTTTAGGGGGATTGAGGATGTGCTTTTGGGAGTCAAGGTTTCTGTGTTAGTGTTGTGTTTAGGTTGCAGGTTTTGATGATTTTGGAATAAACCCTAAACCCCTAAACCCTAACTAAAACCTTGGGGTCCTTGGACCCGGAGTGAGTTCGGTGCCCTGCGAGGCCGCGCGTGTACTGGCACAATTGGGAATGTAGAGCATGAAACAGGCACATCTTGTGCTGAATTAGGTTGGAGCGGCTTACATGTCAAGACCATGTGTTGACACCTCTCGTAAATGACAACTGCCCCCTCTCTAAGATGCTACCAGAAGTCAATGTTGATGTATCATGCGGTCTCATGTTGAAGTTGCTTTGTGTGCGCAATGATTGTTTGTTCTTCGCGGTTGTTCATCTGGGCTCACCGATGTTTGCCGACATACGAGCACCTGAACGAGATGATGCTTTTGTTGATGATGATAAGGAGGAGGAGCATGAGGATGTTGACCAAGTTGAGATCAGTCGCAGTTCTGTTTGATTTGGATGCCAATGACCTGCAATGACAACTACATCGGCTGGTGTCGTTGGTGATGAAATGATGATGTTGGCAGCTTCATGAACCGATTACTTGGTGAGGATGTGGAACAAGATCTGATGTGCTAAGGCATGATGATGTGATAGGACTTAGGATCGACATGATAAGTAGTGGTGTGGTGTGAGTTGGTATGATCTGATACGATACGTTATCATGTAACATGTTATGATATGTCGTGATCTGATACAATACAACAAGCATGACATGACAAGATACGACATGGTATGATATGGTGCGATGTGATGTGACATGCTATGATGAGGTATGGTGCAATGTGATACAACATGGTATGATGAGATATGCTACGATATGATTCGGCATGTCACGCTTTTGTATGCAGTGGTACGGAAAGGACTGGTATGTTATGGTATGATCTGATATGGCAAGGTATTAGTTACGATATGGCAAGACGTGACACGATAGGATGCCATGTGATATGGATTGTTTTGATATGTTTTGATATGATGTGCTGTGATATGCGTTGAAATGCCATGATGTGCTCTGATATGATGCGATATGATGTGATATGCAAGCACGGTTAAGGGCCATCTTGATGGTCGTGATTCTTGCGAGGATGGTGACCCTAAACCCTAAACCCTAAACCTAAACCCTAAACCCAAACCCCTAAACCCTAAACCCTAAGCCCTAAACCCTGACCCTAAACCCTAAACCCAAACCCCTAAACCCTAAACCCTAAACCCTGATGTTGCTGGTGTTGGCCTTGAGGCTGCACTGCTACCCTCAGGCCGTAAGAACTGGCATGGCTCAGCGCTGAAAGTTTTTTGCTCGGGAAAAACCCGGCAAACATGTAATGTAGAGGCCTTAACAATTAGAATGGGGTTTTGGGGCCCATTATACTATGATTATAATAAGGAACCTGGTGATTATTCAGGCCCCTACATCACCGAATGAAGAGTGTAGGGTTTAGGGGAAGCCCACGTCACGTATTGCGAAATCTAGGTCCCGAGCGCACCGAAGCGGAGGAACTGTGCGGGACCTGGGCCGGTTGCAAAAGTAGGGGGCGTTTCGGTTTTGGCCCGGATTAGGGCTCCAGGGGCTTAAGCGTTTAGTTAGGGGGTCAGGTTTAGGGCGTAAGGCTTTAGTTGGGGTTTAGGGTTGTGACGTTTAAGGTTTTGGGCTCACGTTTGCCAGCCAAACCCTAAACCTTAAACCTTATAAACCTTAAACCCAAAGCCTCAAGCCCTAAACCCTGGGGATACGACCTGTGCCAGTGGAGCTCAGGGAATTTTCCTGGAGGTTCTTTTCAGGGGTTGAAAACGGTTGAAAAGTTTAGGGTTTAGGGGTTTAGGGTCTAGGGCTGAGTAGGTAACCTTTACCCATTTTGGGGCGTTTATAATCCTACATATCCTGCTATAACTTGAAAGGTCAACCGCTTTTGAGCTAGGGTATTCAGCCCTTAAGTCTTGAGCTATAGTGATAACATAGACGCCTGAATGGGGTTAGGGTTTTGGGGGGGTTAGGTTAACTTCATAATACTATTATTTGGGGCTCCTGATGAGAATACAGTACAAAAGACACACAAACCCTTCTCGAATTATTAAGGCCGGTGTGTTGTGCAGACTGGTCAGGGTCATCCCGGTTGTAGGTGTAAGAAGCTTTATGGTTTCAGGCTGTAGTTTTTACTTTAGGGCGTACAAAGTTTCGGGTTGAGGGTTTAGGGTTCAGGGTATTATTAGCATATGGCTTACCCCTAGGGTCCCAAGTGCCTGATGATTGCGTTAGTAGAGTAGTAGTTTTAGCTCTGTATTTCCCAACATAATGTAGAGCCCTGATTCAAAAGCCCCTGTCTTCAGAGGCCCTAACGCTAGGACCGCTAGGACCCCAGCCAAAATTCTGATCATGGAAGAGGTGTTCTAGGTTCCCCAATAGTGCCCTTTTGGCCTTTTTTTAATTTCGGGTCCCCAAACTAAAGCTAATGTCAGGCAAAGGGCCCTAAACCCTAAACCCTAAACCCTAAACCCTAAACCCTAAACCCTATACCCTTACTTTTAAGGGGACACTGCGGAGCCCAGTGTTGATTGGCCAAGGGGGACTACATCACAGAAGACCCAGAGCCTCAAGCCAGGACATGAGATTCCTCACCTCTAAGGGTTTAGGGTTTAGGGTTTAGGGTTTAGGGAGATGTCCTGCACCTTTCTGCGATAAAACTGTAAGAGCGAAATACACCTTGAGCCCTTTAACTATCTTCTTCAACCGTCAGCAGGGTCTAGGGATTTTTGGCTTAGATGGCTCATGCTTGGGGCCCTAATAGGGGTTTTGAACCTCTCACCTTGTACTCCAAGCCCTCAAGCCACACACACACACACACACACACACACACACACACACACACACACTCGGGGCATTCAAAGCCCGATTGCAGGGGCCCTACGACAGCATCCTCTTGCAGGAGAGCGAGCGTAACGACCAGAGGAGCCAACCATGGCAGTCCGAGGATGAGTGGGTCGTACTTTTGATGGACCAAATTCTGCATGGCCCCAATATAGTATAATACCATAAATCCCATAGTTTAGGTATATAAGGTCATGCAGGATTTTGTCCATCAGCCGTATGGAGCTCCGTGGACGACAGCAACTTCGAGTGCCCTATAGGCGCCAACATACAGTTATCTGCCAGCAAGACCATTACTATCGAAGGCCGAGGCCAAGGCCAAGAACATGGCCGTCCGAAGGGTGGTACCTAGGCCACAGGCGAACTGCCGACTCGTGGCAGAAGGAGTGGACGATTCTAAGCCAGATCCAGCTCTCACGCATCGAGCAGCCAGCCCTAGCCACCAACACATCAGCAGTGTAGGCACAAGTTGGCTGGCTGCCCGACTTTCTCCTCATAGAGAATGCTTTTCCAATGTGCAAGCCCGAGGCGGCGGCGGTCCCGGAGCCGCCGCCGGCAAGAAGGCGATTGCTGCGCGAACAGTAGGTGCAGTTGCAAGCTTCAAAATGCGCGTCCTTCACGTTCCAAGCCCAGGCAAGCACCCGTCTCTGACTCGGCATTCTACCTGTCCTATTACTACGATGTCGTGCTCGGCCCCCAGTGAGGCACTTGCCTGACCATCGGAGTTAGCAAACAAGTGATGCTGGGGGGTTGTAACATTGTAAGTACGTTCTCGATCCCTTATAGTACTGGGTATCTTGACATAAATTTCAAGATCCCAACATGATGGCCCGCCTCACCCGCTGCCCCAACAGTTATGAGGGATAGTATGGAAGCCTGGAAGCCTGAAATAGTTTTCCTCAGATCCGTCTTATAAGGCAACATCCCACAACTCACTATTGAGTCCCCTGAATCATATACCATTTGGGCAGGTCTTAAGGTGGGACCCATGGGTAGTCTCAGTGTGAGAAAGGAAAAGGAGGAATTCGTCCCCAGACCTCGCCGATAATGGTTGGTGTGCAGTTTCGTGTGAAATGCCCTCGCCAGCACCAACACCAACAGCCCCCCCAACACCCCCCCCCCCCCACCCCAACAAGCTCAGCGTCGGAGAGCAGCAACGACTCCAAGCGTCCCCTCCTCCCTGCCTGGTTCGACCAGCTCTAGACGTTGTGCATGCCAGTGCCGCGTAGTGCAGCCACCAGTAGTGGCCGGGAGCAGCTACGCGACCACCGGGTGAAGATGAGGCGACACTTTGACGAGATCCAGGGCGAAGACCCTAAACCCTGGACCCTAGACCGGGTCACATGGAGCACATCGAGCCATCACCTCGTCAACGCAAGGAGCTGACGCGCGATGGCCCAGGAGCCAGCAAGCTTTCCTAGCCCTATAAGGCTCCATGTACCTATATGGGTAGTTGTCTAAATTAGGGTCAGTTTTAGGGTCCTTTTTATACGGGTGCCGAACTCTTTGGACCCGAAAGGGGACCCTAATTCAGAAAACTTCCCATATGGTAATATAGACTTATAGGCCACACACCCCTAGACCCTAAACCCTGTAAAGCCCTAAACCCTAGACCCTAGATAGTATAGACTTATGGGCCACAAAGTGCCTAGATGGGAACCCCCCAGGGCCGATCTACATGGAGCCATGCAGCTTGTGGGGTTTAGGGGTATAGGGTTTTGGGGCTTAAGGTTTAAAGTAGGGTTGAACCGGGTTCAGGGTTTAGGGTCTAGGGGTTTAGGGGCTTAGCGTTCAGGGGTTCCTACGGTGCTCCATGGCCCGACGCCGAATAGTCTGAAATTTTAAATAGCTAAAAGCCTCAAAATGCCCAGAAGCTCTTAGCATATATACAGTTGAACCCCTAGATTCCTAGATGAACGCCAAACTCTTCAGCTCGAAGAACCTTATAACAAGTCGCAGAATGCCCTTCATCAAAGCACTTGGAGAAGATCTATTACAAGCTCTCAACACCCTGCAGAAGCAAGGCTCCTGGGTACTGTTCTGGGTGAAACTTCCCAAATCATAGTAGTTATTCCTAATATGGAAACCCGGCATTCTACTATCTAGGTGCCTAGTACTCTTAAACCCTTGACAGGAACCCTTAAAGTACCCCTAAAGGAACCCTTAAAGTAGGTACTTAGGACCGTTTCATGAACCCTAAACCCTAAACCCTAAACCGACTTAGGACCGTTTCATGAACCCCAAAGTGCAGGCGGGCGCCCTCGCTGCTCACTGGTCTAAACCGACTCGTCTGGGACAACCGAAGCGAGGTGTCACGGCCCCTTTAGGGTTTAGGGTTTAGGGTTTAAGGGTTTTGGGTGTATTTAGGTTGGGCATTACAAGTTTTGAAGTGTTGATTATGCAACCTATTCAGTATAAGGAGCAACTGTTGTATAGGAAGCGGGGGTCCTGCCTTGCAGGTGCGGGGCACCTATATGACCTATGATATCTCTAGCTACAAGCCAAGCATAACTCTCCCAAGTAAGGGACACTGGTTAATATCAACTGGATTATAAGTCCAGTAGTTAGGTTGTAAGTATCGCTTAGAAGTCCCTAGACCCTATAGACCCTACTGAATTCTTTCCGCACCTCCGAGAGGGCGGTCCTTGAGGCAGGCATGACACCACGCAGTTGCAAATTATCCTACGGGTGATGGTTTTCAAGGGCCAACAGCTGCGGAGGGAGGATGGGGTATTTCTTCCATCGCTCACACTTCGAGAGAGGATATGGCATAGTGTGTTGTCCTACAGCCTCAATCCTGTAAGTGCCCTGAACCTACCCACTAAACCTAAACCCTAAACCCAAAACCACATAACCCCCATAAGCCCTAAACCCTAAACCTAAAACGCTAAACTCTAAACCCCAAACCACATAAACCCCATAAGCCCTAAACCCTAAACCCAAAGCCCGGTTGACAAGACCTGGAACTTAAAGGGTCCTAAGTATTTCGGTGGGGGACACTAGCGAAGCCAAAAAGAGTACGGTTGCTGATACAAATCCTGCATTGCCCATGATAGGGAATATACCATAATTCCCATAGCCTAGGGTCCTTGAAGGATCTAGGAGAGTGGAACCCTGAATTTGGGAGCCTATGCCAGTTGCAAGGGCTGCAATTATTATACGAGGCCCCTTAGGGGATCTACTTGTTGGATCCTCTCTGGGGTCTTAATACCTACCCTAAACCCCATATCCAACCCTAAACCGTAAACCCACACCCTAAACTCCACTTAAAGACTAATTGATGGCTTAGGATATAAATACGGTAACTACACGTATAATTACTCATACCCCAAGTAAAGGTACTTGTAACTGTACTTACTAAGTCCCATGAACCTCCGAGTACCTTCTACTATGTACCCAGACCCCCTGCCATTCCTGGGTGTATAGTCCGGTTTCTGTTTCCGCGTGCGGGGTTTTCTCCCACGAGCGGTTTTTCCCTGCATCGCTTAGAGTTATGACTTAGACCCCCGGAAGGATCCAGGAAAGTGGAACCCCGAATTTTGGAGCCCAAAACCCTAAAGCCTCAATACCCTTACGACTTAGGACTCTTTTGGGAACAGAGCCTGGCAGGCACCTGAGGTCGTCAATGCTCTTCAAAAGTTCAACGTCGTGCCAAGTCCTCAGCCCTAAACCCTAAACCCTAAACCCTAAACCCTAAACCCTAAACCCTAAACCCTAAACCCTAAACCGTCGGGCTTACTGGGTGAAGGGCTGGGCTTACTCGCCGGGTTTAGGGCTTCGGATTGAAGGTCTAAGCTTCGGGTTTAGGGTTTAGGGTTTAGGGTTTAGGGTTTAGGGTTTAGGGTTTAGGGTTTAGGGTTTGCGGTCTAAGGGTCAGGATTTTTGGTGTCTTCCCGTCTATTGTTTTATCGGTGTTGGGTAGCATGATGAATCGATCGATTTTGTCAGAATCTCTGCCTAAACCCTGAACCCTATAACATTTCTTACGATTGAGGCTACGTGTGTTGCAACTTGTGCTCTTCCTCGGGTTCAATACCAGGGGGATCTTTTCCCAGACCCCCAAAAGGATCTAAAAAATAGATCCCCTAATTAGGGACCCTAACTACTAAAGGGTACTTTATAGGAACCCCCTTAGGGGATCTATTTTTAGATCCTTTTGGGGGTCTGGGATCGTGGATCTTGGTTCATGTTCGGCTCCAGGACCCTCCTGACTGATCGTGGGGTTGTGAAGCCCTGCCCCACAACTGCCAGCCAGAATTACCGGCCCCCCGTGTGCAAAGGGCGGTTCTGCCTTGAAACCGTTACGGTTTAGGGGTTTAGGGTTTAGGGCTTAGGGGTTTAGTGGTTTAGGATTCAATCATTCCTCCCGTTGCGGGTGGGTGGTGTCGCGGGAGCAGTTCTGCTTCGGTCTGTTCAATTCTCCCGCCTCTCCTGGGGGTTGGGTGGGTCCCCGAGTGTGTTGTCACTGTCAGATTTCGCAGTGATCATCACGATCCAAAAGCCAAGACGCAGAACATGACGACAACCCCAAGCCACCCAGCCCCTGTGACTAGCACCGGGAGTCCTTTGTTCTTGCAGTGGCATTCCTAATCGTTAGTATAATTATGTACTAGTATACTGTATTCTGAATCCCTATATAGTCTTATCAATCCCCTTAATTAACTGGCTAGGCCCTTAAAGCCTTACGCCATGACGGTGGGATGGGGTCGTTTGGAACAGATACCGGCACTCGTATTATGATGCGAAGGAAACCCGAACGGCACTAATTTCCATGCCGCTCATGCTCCAGCTTAGCATTGAATTGGCAGTGTAGGATGCACGGTTCGGGTCTTGGGGCGTTAATTAAACCCAAGCCCCAAACCCTGAACCCTAAACCCTAAACCCTAAACCCTATGAACCCTAAACCCTAAACCCTAGACCCAAAGGCTAAGTAAACCATAGTAAACGCAGCGGTGCCTGCAGCCTGCAGCTCGAAACATCCCCCATCATAATGGCACCCTACAGCAGAGGGGTAAGGGTTTAGGGTTTAGGGTTTAGGGTTTGTAGGGTCTTGCTGGAGTCTTGCTGTATAGAGTTGAGGGTTTAAGGTTTAGGGTATAGAGATGTAGAGAGTCTAGGGGCACTTGCTGACGGTTGGAAGCGGTGCAGCAACTCAGTGCTCGTCTTCTTCATGCTAGAAGCTTGAGTTGTTGGTTGGGTTTTCTGCCTTGCAAGTTCAGGGCTTGCCATGGGCTTCATGGTGAATGGCTGGACGAAATCAGTCACGTAGGTGAGGCCATGACATGATACGGTTGATGGACAAAATTCTGCATGACCCAAATATAGTATAGTACCACAAAATCCCATTGTTTAGGTATATAGGGTCATGCAGGAGTTTGTCCATCAACCGCATGGCATCTTACTGGCCAGGTTCTACACGGAGTTAAAAATAATCGTCATATTTGTCCCATGAGCCCATGACCCTTAAACTCATGTCCGCGACCAAACGTCCTAAACCTTAACCCCAAACTCTAAACCCTAAATCCGATACCATAAAGCCTAGGCCCTAAAGCCCAAGCCATTCTGAAGAAACTCAATGCGGGTAGACGAATCCCGGGCATGTTTCTGGTCCTGGGTCTGGGATATCGGCCCCATGTGCGGAGAAGGATTTAGCTTTTGGGAGTTTCCCTAAACCCTGAACCCCTAAACTCTAAACCCCACATCCTGAACCCTAGACCCTGAACCCTAAATCCCTGTATCCTAAACCCCTAAACTCAGGGGGCGACGGGTTTGGGCTTTCGTTGTTAAGGCTGAGGTTGGAAGCGAAGCTTTTTGGTTCTTGGTTGGTTTAGTAGTAGTAGTAGTAGTAG